TGGTGGGGGAGCCAGCGCGGGCGGTGCGAGCCTTCGGCTTTGGCTCTCCTTCAGCTTTCTCTTCATCGTCGTCAGAGGAGTAGGTGGCTATCCATGTCCCAGGACCGACAGGCTTCGTTTGGAAAATGTTGCTCGCTGGGGAATGATCCCAGCCACTCTTGCGGGGCGTTGCAGCAGGAGCAGGGGACCGGAGCGGAGGGAGGAAGCGCCGCCTCATTCGACAAATACTCGAGGAAGGCTTGATCTTTACGGAGATCATCCTTGACGAAAGGCTCGGCCTCTCTCAAGGCCTGTTCGAGTGCGGCATCGGTGGTGGGGAAGTTGTTGGGATAGAGGATGGGACCCGAGGGGACTGGTGTTTTGAGGGGTCGGGCCACCTTCCGGGGAGAGGACGGCACAGACATGAATGCCGGGAGGAAGAAATGATCACGAGATCTCGTTTGGTCACAGTAGGTGACACGTTACTTTTCACCTGCTTGTTTTGTCTTCGCACTATGCCCAGCCAAGAATCCGCCCACGCTGCGCGCAACGCCGACCGACAGGCCCAGCCCCTCCGCAAGAAGCCGGGCAAGAAGACCCTCACCGACACCGAAATCGCGTCCCGAAAAAATTGCGCTCACAGAGAGACAAGAGGAGGAGCAAAGGCTCAAGGACGACCACAAGTTCTTTACCGAACGCGAGGAGACGATAGCTCGGCTTTGCCGCGAATTCCCCAGCCGCACAGAAGACTACATCCGCTCAAACATCTGCAGCGCCCTGCAGACCAAAAAACCACGAGCACCCAACATATGGAATATCTATTCAAGCATCAAGTCGAAGGAGGACCCAAGTGTGTGATTACTCCTGCGCCTACCCACACCTCTGACCGCCATTTCACAGAGTTGGACCTCAAGGAAATCCATGCAAGAATCAAGAGGGAGATGGAGAAGGAAGGGGTCAGCAAGGTGGAGGAGCTCTTTACGGAGGAGGAGGTCAAGGAGATGAGAAAAAACGCACTGGAGAACAGGGAGGTGCAGCAGCATGGGCCTCGCCTTACCGAGGCTTCCAACGTGAGCGATGTGAATCGCACCGTTGGAAACACATCTGTTCGTGTAAGTGCTGTTTCTATTAACTTGTTTCACTGGCTGACATCCTTCAAGCAGAACGCTCTATATCGATCGGACGGGGCCCGCACTTTTGGGCTCTGTTCTAAAGGCAACCCAGGCGACGCCGCAATGTCGCACTTCTTCGCCAGCGGGGAGCCGAAAAGTTTGTCATCGAAGTCTTGGGAATGTCGCATATGGAGCTATCCAAGAGATTTGCGGGGTGGGCTCAGGCTCAGAAGAATGGTGCGTTAAAGGCGTATTGTTTTTGATTTTTCCTAATACATCTCAAGGCCCTGGTGAGGCGCGAGACCTTGTCGGAATCCGGAGCGAGATCGTTGGCCTCATTAACGAAGGCTTGCGAAAGATCACAACGGACCCAAAAGTCAAGATGTATTACAAGCATTATGACTACGCCATCCGCTTCAAACACCACGTTCAACTCGTAGGGATCCCTGGCGTCGACGATGGCAACGCACCGCAAAAGTCCCTCTCTGGATATATCAAATCCATGTCCTTCGTGAAATTCGGATCGCACCGGGGCGGAGCGATGCGATGGGAGATGATGAAGCCAGCCGATGTTAAAGCATTGGACGACAAGATTTGTCAAATGCAAGCTGATGGTTCCCTTCGACTTGAGGAAACGATCAGACGCCAATAAGCCGCGTGGTCCTTGGAAGAAGAAGGCGAAGTCTGCGGAAACGATCGACGAGGACGAGGACGAGGAGGATTTCAGTGAGGACGAGGATGAATGGGGTGGTATTCCATTCCAGGAGGAAGAGGATGGGAGTGGTGTTCAACCTGCACCGGCAGCGGCAGAAACAAGCACGGAAGATGATGGCGAGGAAGACCCGCGCCCTGCTGGGGCAGATGTACCGACCCAGCAGTCGATGATGGGCGAGTTTTCCATCGTTAATATGGGAACGGGAGGGGCCGTGGAGAACGCAGATGAAGTGGCAGGCGGAGGCGTGGAGAATCAAGATGAGGTAGCAGGCGGAGGCATGGAGAACCAAGATGAAGTGGCAAGCGGAGGCGTGGGGAATCAAGATGAAGCAGGAGGAGAGGGCGAGCAAACGGGGGGTGAGGCAGTCAAGACCAAACCAAGACCCAAGCCGAAACCCAAGGCGAAGGGGGCAAAAGGAGGAAAGCGAAAGTCGGCTGAAGCCATCGATGGACCACCTCAGAAGAAGCAGAAGGTGATTTCTGCTCCTGCAAAGCGTCAACCTAGGCCACCCCCTTCTCCACGAGTTCTTCCTGGTCGTGGTGCAAAGGATAATGCAGTCGAATTCATTGCGGGTGTTGCCATGTCGCTCAGAAAGTAGAATGGACCAGATAATAGATATTGAGTTAACAATAGGCACAGTATGACTTGGAGAGTGTAGTATCTTGCCAAAAAATGAACTATGAGACCAGTCCAGTACTTGTTTTCCAAGCAATATGTCTCCGGCATCATTTGTTTTTTCAGTCAAAATTGAGTTAACAACCATACGTAGTGGCAGAGTGAGTTAACAAGAATGGGTCATATCAGAAGAAAGAACTCATTTCTGGCAATGAGACTTGTCCTATCCATGTTCTCTAATCAATATACATCATTTATTTTTTTAGTCAAAATTGAGTTAACAACCATACGTAGTGGCAGAGTGAGTTAACAAGAATGGGTCATATCAGAAGAAAGAACTCATTTCTGGCAATGAGACTTGTCCTATCCATGTTCTCTAATCAATATACAACTTTTATTTTTTTCAGTCAAAATTGAGTTAACAACCATACGTAGTGGCAGAGTGAGTTAAGAAGAATGGGTCATATCAGAAGAAAGGACTGATTTCTGGCAATGAGACTTGTCCTATCAATGTTCTCTAATCAATATACAACTTTTATTTTTTTCAGTCAAAATTGAGTTAACAACCATACGTAGTGGCAGAGTGAGTTAACAAGAACGCGTCATATCTCGACAATGAACGTGTTTTTTCCGGTGAAACTTGTACTGCCCGTGCTTTCCCATCAATACGCAACTTTTTTATTTTTTTGAAAAATTACATCATCAACTTGAGTTAACAAGAACGCGCTATATCTCAGCAACGAACGCGATTTGAGTGGTGCCATCTATACGGCACGTGTTCTTTTTTGATTCCCCAACTTTTAATTTTTTGAGTCGGGGGGCGGGCAGGGGCGGGCGGGGGGGCGGGCGGGAGGGCGGGACAGCGGGCGGGAGGGTCGGCCGGGCAAGCGGCGCACACGCGGGCCTAAATGTGATGGAAATCTACTGTATTACATCATATCTATCAAATACACGTGGTCCCGTGCCAAACGGACAAATTGAGGCTCGCTGTGCTCAACGACGTCGAGCACAGCGAGCGCGGGGGGCGGGCTGTCAACGGCGACAGGCCGGGACAGCCGCGGAACATGCGGCGTCAACGGTCGCCACGGCGTTGACAGATGGCGTTGATGTTGATGGGGTTGACGTCACATCGCGCTGATGGTAACGATGGCGGGGTCGGGGCAGCGAGCGGCGGGGGTGACGGCGGGGTGACGGTGGGCAAGGGCCGGGCCAGTGACCGCCAGTGAGCGGTCTCCCCCGCTGAGAAGAGCAGCGCGCTAAGGTAGAATTAGCGGGGGTGCCCTACAGTGCTCTATTTCTCTCTAGTTAGAGGGTCAGCGTGGGGGGTCCTGACCCTCTAACTAGAGAGAAATATGGTGCACTATAGGTGCGTCTGATCCTCGCTTGAGAAATGCAGATCATATGATTCCACGACTCCTCCGTGCTTGACCGAAGTGTGAGTACTGCACAAGCAGAGCCTGTAGAACCGCAACATACTGTCTTTTGGTACGCCAAGTCCACCAGACAATTCGTATGATTATTTTTGCAGTGGTAATCGGAGGCGACATGGACAGCTCGAGCTTGAATGCCGCACTTCCAGGACCCACAAAAGACGGAAACAACAGTTTCTCTTCGTGAACCGTGGCCTACGGGTGGCTGTCCAGCTATACGAACCAAGGAAAATCCTTATGTAACGCAACTCGGAACCGCCGATGCACCCACTATTAGCAGGTTGAAAATCCCGGTTAGCGCCGCATAAAGTGGGGGGGAATGATTGCACCTCGTGGGGGTCTACTCTAGGCTGTAGCCGGTCCGGTCGCGACGCTCGCTCGTCTGTAGCGAGGCAAGCTGTCTGGAAGACAAGGCGGAACCGCCGCTGCACCGGCTGGGTTAGCGAAAGTAGGATATGCTTGCAGTGGATACTCACATGTGGCCACCGTCATGCGGGCGACGTACTATTAAATAGTTCCATTTGATTTTGGACTATAGTAGTAGCCCACCTCCACTGCTTTGAGCTCCTCTGGCAATTAGAACGCTCGGAGCCGCCGATAGATCGAAACTTTATGGAGCCTGGCATGCCCCGGTCGCCAGTAGGTAATTTTGAGCGCCTGGAGCTTACTGGGGCCGCAAGGGCAAGCTTTCCATTGCGAATAGAAGTTTAGAGCGATGAAAAATTGAAGGTGGAAGATGAAGGTTCTCAGGATTCGCTCGGAGCCATTGCCAATACCGGTGGAAGGCGTAGAAATTGTCTTGCACTTTAGCATTAGACAGTATGTACACGCAGGTTTCAGGGCCTGTGGTTGGTGAGGTGATGGCGGTGTGACCGTGACACCGCCTCGACACTGATTTTCAGCAAATATTTGCCGGCCTCCCAAGTTTGCTCGATAAGTATCTCTTCAAGCGTTTATATCTGGGCTGAAGTAATGGTAAATTCAGACTACAATAAAACAAGAAATTGTCACTGAGATAACTCGCTTTGGTATTTCAGAGTCTTTACTACTCCTAGGCTTATTGACCCGCTGGAAGTTTCTGTCATACTCTGATCGTCTACGAACGAGTTCTCGTTCTGTTTCCACTGAGCGGACCCGTCCAACGCTCCCTCAAGGACAAAAAGTGACCACGAAATTGGCTTTCTTGTTTGCATCGCAGAACCACAGGGCAGTGCCGCTGCCCTCGTCATACGCGTATACGTACGAGTCGCGGCAGCCGCCCTTGAAGTAGGCGTATTCGGCGACCCCGGAGGCGGGGCAGGTGGCGGCTAGGTTGTGGGAGCCTGTGCAGCAATTGGGTGAATCGGCTGCGGTTGGCATGAAATTCCACTTCGAAGTCGAGAAATCAACGGATGGTAATCATACCTGGGTTTCCGTCGAGGTTCGCTGCACAGGCGCTCAGACATCCGATAACTTTGCCGCCAGCGTCAGTGCGCCGGAGCTGGGCAGGGCCTTGAACAAGCATTAATATGTTGGTTGGACAACTTGAACGCAGCGAAACACACAGTTGGGATTGAGGTCAGCGCGACACGACGGCACGCCACAGCCGACATTATTGGTGATCTCAACGGGGATGTTGAATCCATCGACGAGGGAAACGTCGTAGTTGTCCTGGTTGCCGCTGCCAGAGAGGGTGAATTCAGCCACGGTCGCCGGGGGGACACCCTGTCACGAGCATAATGAGAATGTGTTTCCGCTTGTGCGTGAATCACGTTCGATGAAGCTACTTACAGTGCCAGTATGAGGATCACAGAGTAGCCCGCCGTTGCATCCACCAGTGGCGCACGAATTCGGCCCAGGATTGGCGGAAAAGTTGCATTTTGTGCGGCCCTGTTCTGTTCAGCCAAGAGAAGTGATGGGAGGGAAAGACATACCCAAATTCTCCCTGATTGCCAATTGTCCGGGACGGAGAAGGAGACAGACGATCCTGGCGGGGCTTCCCATCTGCATCGATTGTGAATCACAAGCAGAAAAGAAATGGTCCGAGGACAAACCCAGTTGGTTGGTTGGGGATCGCGCTGCCCACGTTAAGGTCCGTGAAAATCGCCGGCCTGCAGAATGAAGTCTGGGATCTAATAAGCTGGCAAGCACTGACCAGACCGTATACGAGCAGCTGTTTTTTACGGTGAACGTCCGAGCAGCAGCAGCGGTTGCGAGGATAAGAGACAGGAAACAGTTGGTGATCATCGCGAGTTGGAAGCCGTTGCTGGAGAAACTTGAATGAGAGTGCTTGGGCACTCTGTTGGCCTCTTATACTTTTCGTTTTGAAGTACACACCATCCACGGGATTGCTGGTCATGCTCCGCTTGGACGTTGTTGCCAGACTTGCTCCTCCATACCATGCGCACGACCCTGGCAGGGAGGAGCGGTGCATATTGTCGTCCTTCTCACTGCGTTATGAACATGCCAGTGTTTGTCGGGCTGAGCTCTTCCCTCCAAAGTTTGTCGACGGGCACAAATGAACTCATTCTTGAAGAAATTTATGTTTATGGTTGAAAGACTGTCGTTGAACGGCGGAGGACAACTTGAAATCAGTCAGCCAGAGTAGAAACATTGTATAAGCCAGGGACTTGAGACACAGCTTAAACGGCACGTTCCCAATTAGGGACACTGGAGCTTTCGATAGTTTCCAAGAGGTAGTTGAAGGCCGCCGGAGGGAGTCAGGTGTTGTTCCTGATTCCAGGCACATGATAAAGAGTGCGTACGCGCGGTCGACTCGGAAGTAGGGTTTCAGCAATTTCCTACTTTCGCTGCAATGACTTGGTCGGCATCTGCAGAGTCGAAGTCAAGTTGGCGCGATTCACGTGTTCTGTCAGCCGTGACTAGCGTGACTGCACATGAAGAATGTGGAGCAGTCAATTTGCTTTGGCTTGAAAGTGACTGATGTCCCAGTCGAAATCTGTCTTCGTCTATTCTACAGCCAAATTACAAGTGAATAGTAGGTACAACGAGCCTATCAGGATGCGCGGCACCTTCTGTAGCGGATTAGCAGCAGTATGGATACAGTAGGTATATGATATGCGTGCAGTGTCATTTGTGGTGTTTTTCGTAAGTGAGCATGCGAGAGTCCAAACGGGGAAGGAAATGTGATGCTACAGAGTCCCAAAACGAGCAAGGGAATTATTATGGGAGGGAGGGTAATAAAGGTTCGTGAGTTAGACGCGCGCACCAACGACGCGGGGACCGAGCATAACGCCACCAGTCATGACGCGAGTAACACCGCCAGTGTAGATGTAAGCAGTTGTCTTGGGTTTGTTGCTGTTTTGGCTAGCCCTGGGACGGGGAGCAGCGACGAAGATGGGCGCTTTGGGTGCTGGACGGTTGGCCATCATCGCACGACGAGCGGGGGGGACATAAACTGCTGGCTTTGGCTTCTCCTCGACTTTGACAGGAGGGAAAACGAAAGCAGGTTCTACGGGTGAAAGCGGCGGGGAGCTGGGGGCAGTGCTGGGTGTCGATATACTCTCTTCATCTGAGGAAAAGTCCGAGTCAGCGTCGTAATCAGAGGCCTCAGAGTCAGAGTCCTCATCCTCTTCATCGCTGCTGGAGCAAAAGCGGAGAGGGCTAGGACGGTGGACAGCAGCATTCGGCAACGGAACACGGCGCTGAGACGGAACAGTTCGGCCACGGACTCGCAGTTGAGCGGAAAGCAGGGCGGCACGAAGCTGGGTGGTGGTCTTGCTAGTGGTGATAGCAACTTTGGGTTGGGTGGAAGAAACGAAGCGCCTGCTGAGGTTCCAGATATCGACTACACGTCCTTGTCCAAGGCGGACTTTGGCGTACCCATGGCCAAAGAACAACAAGACCTTGTCGGTCGTGGCGTTGTTGACCAGAGCAGCAAACCAGTCCGCCCAAGCAATGCCGGAAGCCTCGGCAGCAGCTTTAATGGGTGATGGGGCAGAGCTGGGGGTCAGGACATAGGTAGATGTGGGGGAAGTAGCAAAGGCACTGGTGAGGATGACATGCGCAGTCGTGATGGCCGTCGTCGAGAATGTCTTCTTGCCGAACGAGGTCGAGGCAGAGGAAGAGTTGGCGAGGAGGGGCCGGATAAGGAAAGCAACGGCGTGCGAGATGGCAGCGTTGAAAGCGGGTGAAGACATGGTTTTTGTGGTGTCAAAGTTCAAAAAAAGTGAGGCACAAAAAGGTTGTCCGTCTGCAAACAAAATCAGCGCGAGTCAACTAGTAGGAAAGATGAGGACGTACCAAGGAGAAAAGATCAAGGTAAGGCTGGTGGTCGTTGAAAAAAAGAATGCGTAAAAGGTGCGTAGAGCGAGCGTTGAAACGGTTAGGCGTGTGTGGGCGCGAGAACGAGTGCGTGGGTCGTAAACAGACGAAGAGCGGGAGTAAGCGAAAGTGAGCGAAGACGACTGGGTCTGGCTTTCCATCTCATCCGCCTCCACTTCTTATACGCGTCGCGTGCGCTTGGGAAGATGCCTCGGCAGTCACGAGGCGTCACAGAGAACAATAACCTCGACGCTGATGCGCATCACTGTCCTTGTTCTTTGCGCAATTGTCCTACCCCAAATCGGTGGGCCATTGTATTTTCTGTTGCCATCCGAGCATGCTGGGTGGATGATGCGCCGTAAAGCCCTTGTTCCATGTAATATTAGCCTTCACTTAGGGCTAGACAATTGTTTGGTTGCTGGTATCGGGTTCTGGAATGGAAGGGACGGCACGGTGTCACTCAGACGATGTCTAGCGAGCAATTCTAGCCTCGCAATCATGTCCAGATGTGTGCTCCAGCGGAGCTCTCTGTCAACCAAACCTCGTCATCGGCTTGGCGCATCTGATGCGCCGGTCCAGGCACGTGATGTACTGAGCTTCGTCTTTCACTCCCGCGTGTTCGGCGCACGCTAATGCTGGGACTGCGTCCACGGAAAACCATAATCTCTGTGCTCCTGCTCACTGGACTGGTTTGTCTGCATTCTATGCCTCTGGTCGAGCCATGTTCTGACTCTGCGATAGATTTCTGTGTATCTTTATTTTGACGACGCCATCCCTTCCCCTCCATTCGGAACCTTCGACACCTCCAATGGCCAGTTAACCCGGAACATCACTTTTAGCCAGCCACCCTACCATGCTGGTGTACCTCAGAAATACTACAACACCGCCAACTCAACGCGTCGGGCGTCCGCTGCTATCGTCGTTCTTTGTGCGTCTACCCTTTGGCATACCTCATCCCTCTTGTCCTCTAACAATCCCTGAGCCAGGCCAGAATCACCACATTCCTAGCATCCTCGCAAGTATGGCGCTCTTCGAGGAAAAGTTCAATGTCAAGTATGGATACCCATACGTCTTCCTCAACGACGTAGAGTTCACGGATGAATTCAAAGCGTGTGTCATACCCTCCGTTTACTACTCTTTACCCAATATGAACCAGAAATATCACCGCCGCTACTCACTCCCGTGTTGAGTTCGGGCTTGTACCCCGAGAGCACTGGGTCCAACCATCGTGGATAGATGAAGAACGGGCAGCAAAGGCACGAAAAAAGCTGGCTGCAGGTCATGTCTTATATGGCGGTAAGCCTACATCGTCCGTCTTGAGCGAAACTTGACCTTGTTTCTAGACAGCGTATCGTGTGCATAGCTAGCCTCGTTCTAAGACGATGTTGAATGGGCCATAGGTATCGGAACATGTGTCGCTTCCAATCTGGGGTACGTCGATGCACCATAGCTTGAACTCTTGACTGAATGGTCATCGCGTAGTTCTTCTTCCGCCATCCCCTATTACAGCAGTACAAATGGTATTGGCGGTAAGTCAACTTCCTTATATCCTTTCTCTCTTACTCACTGGAACAGGATCGAGTAAGTTCCATAGTGTCCATCTAATACTCATTTGAATGACTTGCAGGCCCGATGTCAAGTTTTTCTGCGACATCGACTTCGACCCGTTCCTCTTCATGGAAGGGGAAGACAAGAAATATGGTGTGTGGCCTCGTTGCTCGCTTTCTTCAGTGTTCCCGATGTGACACCAGCATTCACAATATCCATGCCCGAAAATCGCAAAACAGTTCGCACATTATGGCCCATTGTGAAAGGTTAACTCGTTCCCCCATTTATGCTGCTGCATTACTAAGCAACCGCTATACAGAATTCATCGCTAACAATCCATCGCTCCTTGCGGACGACAATTCTCTTGACATGCTCACAGCCACGACCAAGGGTGGGGCGTATTGGAATATGTGTCATTGTATGCTTTCCTTTCATGACTACAGTATATGCTCTTAGTGAAACGACTGGAGTCTGGAGCAACTTCGAGATCGCGGACCTCGATTTGTGGAGAAGCGATGAATACCTGAAATTCTTCAACTTTCTCGATTCAAAAGGGGTGCGTCAAGCTCACTACTGGTCTTGCTTCAAGTTAATCAGATGTCTCTAGGGATTTTACTATGAGGTCAGCCAGACGCCATGATGCTTTTTGGAGATGATTTGACAAGAGATAGCGCTGGGGAGATGCGCCAGTCCACACATTTGGTGCAGCCATGTTTGTCAGGAAGGACCAGATTGTACGTTTATTCACTTCCATTCTGTCGCTTGGCTTTTTACCAAGTTGGCTAGCACTTCTTCAATGAAATTGGTGTGTTCAGGATCTGTCTTTTGCGGCGCACATTGCTGATATGAAGGGCAGGTTATTGGCACATTCCATATACCCATTGTCCCTCTGGGGCCGCACATTCAAGAGGGCGATGCACTTGCGAGGAAAAAGATAGCATGGGTGTGTTTTTTGGATGACTTTTTTTCTCATAGTATAATCGTCTGGATAGACCGGCATGGCTGGTCGTGCTTACGCCACTACGACGCCCTGTTTAATGCTTCTCAAAGTCCATGATCTATATATTTTGGATTGTCTAAAGTAAAGTAAAGAGTCCATTTGCTGATGCTTTGCGCAATATCTAATCTATGTTTAGTGCTACTTTTGTCCATGAAGGGGTCGTTATAGGCATCATGCGACCTCACAAGAGGCCACCGCGGGCACCACCGCCTGGCGCGAAGTGTGCGAGCCCGTCGCTTGGCTGCTTGGGGACGGCAACGTTGACAGTGGGCGAGGGTTTCGAATCGGTTGGGTGCAAAAGACGATCAATCATCGCGGACAGCCTGTTGCTTGTTTTGTGGTGCGACACGCGAGAAGCGGGACGCTAGAAGAGAAAGTGAGGATCAGAAGATAGACCTAATACCGAAAAACACGGCATACTGAAGGCGCGGGTGTTGCTGGTTGCGATGTATATGGCGATGGAGCCGACTTTTTGGAGCTCGCAGCCTATAAACAATTGAATCAGAGTCACTCGGCAGACTAGACAGTAATACGAACAGCAAGCTGACTAATGGCGACGGTTTCAAAGTCCTGGGTGAACATTCTGAGTAATAGTATGGAGTGAAGTTTCAAGTGGTCGAGGAAGGGATGTCAAAGCTGCGAGACACTGCAGTGGAATGTCCTTTCCAACCCACTATAAGCCAGCTTAAATACTCCTACCTCCATTCCACCTCCCGAGCTCCGGAAAATTTTCGAACCCTCGTTCAGTAGTCCTGACACACAAACGTTCACATCCCAAACTGTGCGACCGACCGTCCGACGTCGGTTGTATTGTCGGGCTGTGTCGGTTATGCTCCGTTTCTGACTCCCCGAATTTTTTTTTGCGCTTGGACCATGTGCGTTCGGAAGCAAGTTGCCCCGGGCCCGGCCCGGCCCGTCTCTCCGCTCGGCGATCAGGGTAGCCGATCTTATCTCTTATCTGATCGTTTTTTTTTTTTACAAATTAAGGATAAATACGCGAATACAGGGAAGTACAAGGCACAGCGACTACACAAGGAATACACACAACCAGGGCCTTTGGTCAGTAACACGGTTTCCCGATCGAGAAGTTAAAACGCCGCAGGCTTCCTCATATCCATCAGCTCAGGCTCATCAGTTGTAGTGGTGACATCAACGGTGATTCCTTTGCTTGTCCCCCGACTGTAGTTGGTATTTTTCGACTAAGGAGGAAGGCAAAAGTTGGTCTAGATTTCTCTGGCAGGGAGCCAAGACGCTTACCCAAGGCGAAAATGTCCGGAAGCCCTCAGTGAGCGTGCTGAACGTGAGAAGACCATTGGACGTTGTTCCTGGCCGCGGACGATCACGAAGCTCGCGCAGGACAGAGCGTGAGTTGAGGCTAAGAACCCGTGATTTCCCCCGAAAGCCGTGCTATCGCCGAACATACCTGGCCAAGAGAGAGTTCGAGAACACTAGACAGACAGATGAGGCCAAGGACAAAGATTGACAGATTTTGGTTTGCTTACTGCGTGCTTCGAGGGTGGAAAAGGCGATCCAGATGACTGTGGTAGAAATAAACATCGTTCCAACGTTAGAGTATTTGACGCATACAATTATTTGGCATAAGATGGAACTGTAAATGTGAATGAGCAAGTACAAAGAAATTGCCAAGATGTCATACCAGAATGACAGTCGCCAGCGAGAATGAACTTGGACGAAATTAGTGGTTATTATTCCATGTAAAGCTGAGACTTACCATGTCAGCATTCCAGTTTCTATAATTGCCGTGAATTGGTAGCTAACGACTGCCTCTAGTCAACGAGACGCACCGATAGACCACATAATAATTTTGTCTAAGAACGCCGTTGTGCTAAAATTCACCGTCAAGATTGGTGAATGAAACAGACGCAATCTACTGACGATTTGTGCACGTTCTTCCTTTGCTGGAAAAGGAGGTAGACAAGCGCGCTCGTAATGGTGACGTCTTCGACGGCGCTCAGACTCCACATGGCGATACCGAGCCACTGCCACTTGGTGCCAAACTCGGTGACGGACTTGACGTTGAGGCCGACGGAGAAGAGGGTCGTCCCCAGACCGAACCGCACAAGCGAGAGCGTGTAAGTGAAGGCGGGGATGATGCGTGACTTGGAGAGGACCCAAATTCGATAGGAAAAGAACACTTGGACTAGAGTGTGGGTTGTAAGATTAGTATGAAACAGCGGTAACTTAGTGGAGCGAACTAACCGTACACTGCGATGATGACGGTGATTTCGATGTACCCAATGATTGACCGAGGAGGGCGGGCGAGGAGCAGTTCAGGATGGCCATAGTCATTTATTAACAAGGTATACAATGTGTGGCAGACTGTGCCAGTGTGCGCTGATTCGGCCATCCTTTACAAAGAGCTGAGTTGAGTCGAATAGGACTGCGTGGAGGCCAAACAAACCAAATGAAGCAAACGGAGAACTTGATCATCCAATGGTCATCCGGAAACCTCGTCGAGTAGATATATGCCTGAAGCGAAGAAATTAGGACATTTTACACCCAAATCAAGGTCTACATGCCTGGACACAAGTGACACCGTACAGGATCTGCGGGTCCCCCGTCAGTAGAGGTTAAGAAGAGGAGAATGGTAGCGCCGCACGCAACCGCAAAGAGTCCCGACGAGCATCGCGCCTAGATAACGACATTTTAGTCAGCAATAATATCACAGCTTGAGGTGGCTTTGCTGACCCAGAGTGGGATTGGGATCGAATGCCTGCGCAGACATTGTTGAAGGAAAGGACAACTGCGAAGACGATGCAGATAGACCGAGGTCTATAAGAGGAACTTGGTCGTGAAGTACGAAGGAGCGGGAACGTGGGACCAATGGAGAGCATATCAGTATCTTTCTGATTGCTTGCGATCACCCGGAACCATCCTGTCCGTGGATATTTTTGAGTGCCATGGGAAGGAAACTCTTCTTGGGCTCCTTGGAATTGTGCTCGGCGTATTCAGCGCAGCGTAGTCTCAACAGACAAGACAGACAAGACATCTGAGTGTATGGGGCATTCGAGTTTGTGAGATCCGCGGGAAGCTTTCCTTGGCAATGGCGTAGGCAGCGGAACAGAAGCAATAATAGCTGTCAATGATAGAAAACTTTAACTAGGAGCGCATGCGCTACTGACGTTGCTTGAGCAGTTGGTCAATGTCAAAGCGGTGCAATGAACACTGTTTACATCGAGCCACCGTCAGCACAAAGAGTCAGACCATCAGGTTGGCGCCGGATTATCTCGTTACGGAAAGTCGGACGCCACGAAGTTTTGATACAGCCTGGTTGGACATAAGTTCAAGAAGTTCAGTCAGAGAATCCATCACTTCAACGGAGAGTGCGCCTCGACAGTTTGCGACGACGCGGAGCTACCATCAGCCTCAGTGGGATAACACCGTTGGCTACATCAGGCAGATCGTATCAGCAATTCCCTTCGAAGTTCAAGTTGGCCCTCGTCAAGGAACTCAACCCAGTGTGTTGCAATTGGCTGTTTACACCTCGAGTTGCGGCGAGGGCGCCCCCTACGGCGTCGAGCGGTATTTTGACATTTTGAAGAACTTGAAAGAAGAATCGTCATCATGAGATTCCCCACTTCTTTGCGATCGCGACGAGCGCCGTATGCCATGCTTACAGCGCCGGTCACCGAAGTTGCCAGAGAGTAAAGCAAGTCAAATAGAGGAGAGGCAAAGAGCCAAAAAAAACGTACTAGTAGACCTGTCCTTGAAATATGTAGTTTCCAGTCATTTCCGTCAAATCGTCATGCTGCCTCAGCGCTACTTGCGTGGAGTTAATGTGGTGCCCCCAAGAATCAGAGTTTACGGAGAAATACCTGCACAATGCAATTGGGATTTGTCCTTCAGCAGGTCATGGTTGTTGGCGCCAGATGTTTATCCACGGCAGGCACGGCACTGTCGCCGATTTGCGATCAGATTGATCGGACAACTTACATACCTTTCGACAGACTTCGACGACAATGCAGTTGCTGGACCTTCCGGCTGAGATTATCCTCGCCTGCTTCTGCGAACTGCCATTCAGCGACCTAAACAACCTTTTCCAAGTCGGCAACCAACATTTGTACACGCTTCTTCACGAATCGGTCATCATTCGATACCGTGCAGAGCTGGAAGCCGCAGATGTCGAGGAAAATCTCCACCTACTTGGGGGGACGGCTATTTCGGATCGTAGGAAACTCCTTCGCGAGCGAGAACGGCGCTGGATTCAGTTAACTCCATTGAGTCGGCACACCATCCGCCCCGATTTTACAAGCGCCTCCATATACGACGTGGTCGGTGACATTTACCTGGTTGGTGACACTCCAGACGCGCTTTCTGGCCTGCCAACAGCCATAAGATACACTTACACATCTCCATCTTCGCTCGAAGAAGAGAACTCAACACCAGCATGGCGTTATATTTCTGCACAAAACTCTAAACCAATCATCGACTTTGTTGTTTCATTGGCGTCGCACGATCTTATCGCGCTGGTGACATGGTATGCGGTGGCATCTGTTCAAATCCAATTGGTATTCACTTTCTCTAAAAGTAGTCCAGATGCTCATGATGCGACCCTAACATCAATCGACATTCAGCTATTGCGGTTTTCGACTGGAGCCAGACATCCGCTCGGACCCCCATCTGATATCCATGTAACCACCTCCCCTGCAGCTTATGGCCGGCCAAGCGTTTCTATCGAGGTGGTCGACAACTCCCTTGCGATTTCGGCGATATACTGGGCTGCCTACACCAACGAACACGACTGTCTCTGGGTGTATGACTGGCTGTGCGGCAAGCTACTCCTGGTATGTCCAACTGTACCCTCTGATACTCACCACTCATGACAGCCAGCAACCCCGTCGCATAGCCAATAACGGGGTTGGGTTTCTTACAGCCGACACGCTTATCGCGCCGAACCCATTTCATCATTCGCTGGAAGTCTTCTCCATTCCAAGGGAGCCTCCGCCCGAAGGAACAGAGCCTCCATATCCTATTATGCATTCCTTCTGGCTGCCCCAATTGAAACCAGGGTTCATGACGCTTTCCTTCCATTGTCGAGGGCACCCCAATCCGCCTCCTCTTTCGCGGTCCGCCACAGAGTATTACTATGCCCTCCCCAGCCGAGCCAAGTTTCCATCCCGCGGTTCAAACTCTCTGCTACTCTATACCTTCTCCACTGGCTCATATCAAGAAACAGACCAAGAGCTCCGAAATCACATGTTTGTCGTCGATCGCTCGCAGTTCATTTCTGCTGTTCAAGCATTCACCACTCTCGAAGACCACGAGGACTCGGACGCCACCAGCATGCACGTAGAATGGTCTCAGTGGGGTCCTCAATGCACTCGTTTTCTCGACGCATCTGTTATTTCCCAACGGTACATCACTACAACGTGCGGCCAGCGCCTTGTTTGTATTGCTCGAGATGCCCAGAACGACCCCGCTCCGATTAGGATGCTTTATTTTAACGAATATGCTGTGAAACAGTTGAGAGAGGACTTGAGCTCTCTTCAGGCTGATTCAATCGAGTCGGCAGGGTCGCTTGTTCGGCTCGTAGAGGGCGATCCTCCCAATGCGACCGAGTCAAGTCTGCTCCATTCTCTTCCCAGTGCAGCAACTGTTGTGTTCGATGATCCTAATAATCTGATCTCACACATCCCATACGCCGAGGTCGTTTCCAAGGCGCAAGACTTTGCCTTTGGCGCTCTAGTCATCAACGACGAGAACATCATCGGGGTCAAGGCAAGTGTCAGCTCATTCTGCTTCACATTTCTTCGCGCTGATATTTTGATAGTTCTCCGGACCTAATTTGAGAAGACTTGACTCGCTCGATGTTCTTCATTTTGGATAAGTGGTACTTAGAGGCATTATATCTGCAAATAGACTCATAGACTCATATCGTCCAAAACGTTGTTCAGGATTATCTGTCCATATACGATGTTCCTCGATCTCCCCGAACGGTGATTGAGTCACAACACACAGTCCTGCATGTGCTCAGTGCCTGGTCCGTCCCTCAATCTCCCGCCAGTTCCGCACCAGCATCTGTTGCAAACTGACCGAACCGCCATCGGTTGAGCTGCTCTGATCGACTTTCGAAGAGGGCAAAGAGTAGTCTGAGGTCGCGTCTGCAACCAAGGCTTCTGAGCTCCGCCGGTCAGTTGGTGCAAATGGCTGGTTCCATGCAGAAAACACAAATTCCGCAGGATTTGGATTCGTGTGCGCCGCAATCTCATGCAGATCGCGTTGGATAGCGAGACAGAAACCGTCGAGGTTGAGGTCGTTTAAATCGTAATTGAAGGGATTTTCAACTAGATGCTTGATAAGCCGCGGAAGTGGAGCCAAGCAATAAACGCGCACTCTCTTGCCCAATTTCAAGAAAACCAAGAAACAGGAATGCAGCAAACGCGGTTCCGGGAATCGTAACCCAGCCAAGCAAGCCAACAACTTGAAAGGGCAAGAATAAAAGGTAGAGCCTCCGTCGGATGTTAACATGGTAACGGATGATTATCTTTTTAGACTCACCAAAGAGATACTCGAAGGTGCACTTGATACGCAAACGGTAGCGGAGTAGAAGCTATTCGGTCGAGATTTGCTAATGCGTCTTGAAGTAAGCCGAGGTTGGTCACATACGCGCTAGCGGGGGCAGGCAAGATCCATGCATTGCCCAATAAATCTAGAAAGTGCCGGTCAACTCAAGACAACCTAACTATCATCACGAAAAGAACACCCACAAGATATATATGAAGACAAATAGATCGTAATTTCGAAGGGAACGTTGCTGTCGGTCAGCGGGCGGATGCCTTTGAGCTTTGACTTGGGCCGCTTTCCACACAAGTTGCAAGAGAAACAGTCGAAAAAACCTATTTTCGGTGGATTGCGAGCCGGACCCAGCGGCCTATGTACATCCACGTCAGCCAAGGCAGCCTCAGGATCGAATGTTTTGGTTCGCCGTGGGTGATGGGTCTGTGTCCCATGCTCGGAATTTTCCTTCTCTGATGAACTAGCGCGATCACCCCAACTTTCTACCCAAGGATATTGAGGGTCCTCACAGGCTTCCCAGAGGGGCAGTAACTCCTTTGATAGATGCCCTGATTGCTGACTAGCGAACCGTGGTAGGAACGAAATGAGGGGATAGAGGTCGTCGTAATAGACTCCCGGCTCCTGGCGGAGAAGATGCTGCCGGAACCGAATAAGTGGGACTTAGACAAAAGATTTCAGAACCGACCTTAACAGAGACCGAGAACGCTTGAACCAGATTCAGCATCGTCTTCTTCTCAATGGTACTTTGAAGAATAGTCCAAGTTTTACCACCTGTTTCGGTTCTCTCAGTGGCAACATGGATCCAAATCTAGGGGCGTGTTATAATGTGGTATGGTTGATCACAAGCCTCACAATTTGAGCGAGATTTCGGGAGGCAATGGCTATGTTTGTCCACAATTTGCGGCCTTCTTGGTACCTGAAGATGGCTCAGGGGAAGCGATGAGTAACTAGAAAAGGCGTGCCTTTCGTAAGAACTTGAAGTTCTGAATGAGATGACAAGACCCAGTACGGTACCCAGCACCCCGAACAAGACATTGTTTATAGTGAGGTTGTGCGACGTGAGCTTCGTGATACAGGTCACCACTAGAGAAAATAGCCGGGGTCAACATATGTTCAGGACATAAGGGAAGCGGCATACTCGTGGAGACGAGAGTTAACAACATAACGTCGAACCAGATATCATTGAGCACAGTGGCATTCAACTTTTTCATGGTCCAGCCCATAAAGAAGTTGTCTTGCGCCATGGGGTGTGAAAGTATCCAGGGTTATGAGGATATAGGTAGTGGTTGTGCTGGTCTTGCGCTACCGAATTAAAGGTGTGTAGCCTCATGGAGGAAACGTGTCCAGGTTGCGAAGTTCCCGCACTGACGCCGGCGCCGTTCATTCGAGCTTCCTCGTGGATGTTGAGATTCTTCCCGACCTCCATTGCATTGCATCAAGCATGTCCTCAAGGCCCAGGTATAGGCAGACGAAGCTTAAGACCTGAGGCTTAGACCTCGTTCTGGACGAGAGGAAATGTGACGGATCACGGTGCACGTGCATAATCTGTCACAATCACATCGCTTTTTTTCTGCGCGTCCTCTGGACGGCGCGTCGGTGAGTGGGTTGCTACGATTAGGTGCGGGATAATGTAATCTTCAAGCCAGATGCTCCTCCTGCATGGGCTGTCGGCGCTATCCGCCCCCAAACGCGAGTCCGTCTTGGCAGCCATTCAGAAACAGTGTCCGATTATCTTGACCATCGACGCTGTCTGGATTCACCTTGTGAAATGCCCTACTCTCGTCGCGCAAGAAATCCTCTCCAACCCCCAATCAGTAGAGCGCCGCGCTCTCGATCGTCTACTCGCTTATGGAGATAGCATCCAACTACCCAAAACCACAGACCGGATTCGTGAGGGTCGGAATGTTGTGTTTGTTTTCCCCCGTCTTGGGTCGATATCGCCTTGGTCTAGCAAGGCAACAGACATTGCTGGGATATGCAACCTTAGAAGTGTGGTCGAGCGGTTGGAACGGAGTGTTGCATTTAGCTTCTGCACCAAGGACGACCAGGAGTTGACCGATGCGCATTTGGCCTCATTTTCGTCACTCATTCACGACCGTATGACTCAGGCCATCCTTCGTTCCCCTCCAGACGACGCAACATTATTTGAACACCATGATCCCAAACCACTCCACACTGTCGACCTCACAGGGAGCCCAAACCCCAAATCGACCCTGATGTCAGCCAACACCGAACTGGGTCTTGCCCTTGCAGCAGACGAAATGGATTATTTGGTTGACGCGTATACTGGGCATCGAAATCCCACCGACGCGGAGCTTTTCATGTTCGCCCAGGTCAATTCAGAGCACTGCCGCCACAAAATTTTCAACGCTGACTGGACCATCGACGGACATCGGATGGAAAATTCTCTCTTCCAGATGATTCGCAACACGGAGAAGCTACTGACCGAAAACAACACCATTTCTGCCTATTCGGACAACGCTGCTGTCTTGGAAGGCCACCCAGCTCCTCGTTTCGGCGTTGTCCCTGCTTCTTCCAATAATCTCTATCAGCCTAACGAAGAGGACATGCCCATACTCATCAAAGTCGAAACACACAACCACCCCACTGCCGTCTCACCGTTTCCTGGTGCCGCTACAGGTTCCGGTGGTGAAATTCGGGATGAAGGGGCTGTCGGTCGGGGATCTAAACCCAAAGCCGGTCTATCTGGCTTCACCGTTTCCAATCTGCTCATACCCGACTACGAACAACCTTGGGAGACGGACTTCGGCCGACCCTCACATATCGCTTCGGCTCTGGACATAATGATCGACGGTCCACTCGGCGCAAGTGCTTTTAACAATGAGTTTGGACGGCCTGCGTTGGCTGGCTACTTCCGCACGTTTGCAGAGCGGGTTCCTGGAGGGGAAATTCGGGGCTACCACAAGCCCATCATGATCGCTGGTGGTTATGGAAACGTCAGAAGACAGTTTGCGAAGAAGGACCGCATAACTCCCGGCGCGAAGATTGTCGTGCTAGGCGGACCAGGTCTACTTATTGGTTTGGGTGGTGGAGCCGCTTCAAGTCAAGTTTCTGGTGCTGGCTCTGCTGAGCTCGACTTTGCATCAGTGCAGCGGGATAACCCCGAAATGCAACGACGATGTCAGCAAGTCATCGAAACATGTATTAATCTCGCTGACGGCAACCCAATTGAAAGTATACACGACGTTGGAGCTGGTGGATTGTCCAATGCGCTTCCCGAGCTGGTCCACGATTCCGGCCTCGGTGCGAGGTTCGAGATTCGTGACGTTTTGGTGGCCGATTCGTCGATGTCGCCCATGGAAATTTGGTGCAACGAGAGCCAGGAACGTTATGTTCTTGCTATTGCAGAGGACAAAGCGGAGATTTTCACGGCCATTGCAACTCGTGAACGGTGTCCATTTTCTATCGTCGGCGTCGCGACACAAGTGGAAGAACTCGTTGTGACCGATCGACTTCTGGGGCAGGACGTTATCAACCTCACAATGTCAACGTTATTCGGAAAACCACCTAAAATGTCGCGCAAGGTGGATACACTAGTCCCCACTCTCGTTTCGTTCGACCCATCCCTCGGCACACCCTCAATCCAAGAGCGGCTTATTTTGGCTGTTTCAAGGGTGCTCCGCCTTCCGAGCGTAGCTTCAAAATCATTTCTTATCACCATTGGCGACCGTACGATAACTGGACTTGTTACGCGCGACCAGATGGTTGGGCCTTACCAAGTTCCCGTTGCTGATGTTGCCATTACGCGTGCTTCGTATGGCTTTGATGTTCAAGTTGGAGAAGCTATGGCAATGGGTGAGCGGACACCTCTCGCCTTGCTAGACCCAGCTGCTTCTGCTCGCATGGCTGTGGCCGAGTCCTTAACCAACCTCGCTGCTGCAAATGTTGGTGATCTCAGCAAGGTCAAGCTGAGTGCCAATTGGATGTGTGCTGCCGGGAAGGATGGTGAAGGTGCAGGCCTGTATGCAGCCGTCCGAGCGGTTGGCGTGGAACTCTGTCCCGCTCTCGGGGTGGGCATTCCTGTTGGCAAGGATTCAATGTCCATGTCGATGAAATGGCGGCAGGATGGCGAGCAGAGGGAGGTCAGCGCTCCGTTGTCGTTGATTGTGACCGCTTTCGCGGCAGTACAGAACGTCGGCAAAACCTGGACGCCTCAACTTCAAGCGCTGCCAGATACGGTCCTCGTGTTTCTTGATCTGGCGAGCGGGAAAAGGAGGTTAGGTGGATCTGCCCTTGCGCAAGTATTCAAAGAAATTGGCAACGAGGCCCCGGATGTTGACAGTCCCGATACGCTCAAGGCATTTTTTGCGGCAAGTCAAAACGCGAGAGACATTGTTTTGGCCTATCACGATCGTTCTGATGGCGGACTGTTCACAACCGTTGCGGAAATGGCCTTCGCGGGTCGAGCAGGGGTGAGGCTATCACTCAATGAACAAGACCCCGTCGCAACTTTATTCAACGAGGAACTTGGTGCTGTCGTTCAGGTCAGCAAGACCGACCTGCAGCAGTTTACGGACATTTTTGTTGGTGCTGGATTTCCGCCTTCTTCCATCCATGTCGTTGGTGAGGTTGTGGTGGATTCAACCCAACCATTCATTATCGACCAAGGCTCCGAGACAATCTTCGCCTCAACTCGACAAGACCTCCAACGTATGTGGGCGGAGACTTCCTTCAAGATGCAGTCCATCCGAGATGATGCAAATTCTGCTCAAGAGGAGTTCGATCTAATCAAAGACGATAGTCCCGCTGGTCTCTTTTACGACCTCACCTTTAAATATTCTCCCGCTCGAAACTACTTCCGCCGACCTCGAGTTGCCGTATTGCGTGAGCAGGGTGTCAATGGGCATGTAGAGATGGCCTGGGCTTTCCATCAGGCCGGCTTCGATGCTGTGGATGTGCACATGAGTGACGTTCTCAGCGGCACTATTCAGCTTCACGACTTCCGCGGGCTCGCCGCATGTGGCGGCTTCTCTTACGGCGATGTTCTTGGCGCCGGGAAAGGCTGGGCGCATTCTGTCTTGCTCAACTCGACTGCTCGAGAACAATTCACGCGCTTCTTCACTCGCGACGATACCTTCACGCTTGGTGTTTGCAATGGATGTCAATTCCTCAGCCACTTACGGGATATCATCCCTGGAGCTGAAGACTGGCCGGACTTCAAATCAAACAGGAGCGAGCGATTCGAGGGACGCGTTGCCGTTGTCGAGATCGTGGACAACGAAGTTTCTCGAAACTCTGTGTTTTTACGCGACATGACGGGTTCGAAGATACCAATTGCGATAGCTCATGGCGAAGGCCGGGTCGCATTCGGAGATGCCAGCGGTGCTCAGCGAAATCGATTAGAGCATGGAGGCCTCGTTGGAATGCGTTACGTCGACCGGAGCGGGAAGCCAACGGAAATATACCCGCTGAATCCAAACGGAAGCCCCGGCGGGATAACTGCTGTCCAAACGCCCAGTGGACGCGTTTTGGCTCTGATGCCGCACCCAGAGCGGGTTGTTGCGATGGAGAGCAACAGCTGGTACTCGTCCGCGGTCAAGCAGGAGTGGGGTAATGTTGGGCCGTGGTTCCAGCTCTTTGCGAATGCGCGCAAATGGTGTCAATGAGGTTAGTACCCCTTCCCGTCTGAGTGACTGCGTTAATTTGGACCATAGATTTGTATATAAAGTGCCGCACGATGTAGCGTTAGATTGTGAAGTACAAAACAAATGTAGACTTGGGTAAAATATTTAGTATTAGGATTCCACAAACCCTAGCTTTTTTTGTTATGGCGCTCTGAACTCGACTCGGTCCAGCACGTTCATTTACAGATCGGGAATTTTCCTACGCTTGACCCTGGATTCGAGCAACGACTTTGAGACGTCACACGTGACCGTGCCCCTCTTTTCACCCTCACCGGATTCCATGAATGGAAACTGAGAAGTGCTATCCTCGGTTTCTCATGCCCTCGCAATCCCTGAACTACTTGAACTCATTCTAGAGCACCTTCCTGCCTCGTCGTTCCTGGCGGGTGCTCTTGTTTCGCAGTCATGGGTAATTCCCGCTCAACGCAGGTTATTTCGAGATGTCTCGTTCACCGACAGCACAACCTTTGCATTCGTTCAACTATACCGTACAATCCAACGCAATCGTCACCTTGGCTCTTACGTCCGGTCTTTGACGTTGGTCCTGCCAGGCGGCGAAGACGGGTTAAGTAACCCACAACAAGCGCTCGAGCAAATCGTGGATCTTCTGCCATTCATCTCCCGCCTCGGTATTACCTTTCGGGCAGGCTGGGCTCGTCCGACCCATTATCGGCCTTTAGCATCACCTTGAGCATCCAACGGATTCTGGCTCTTTCAACAATGCGTCAAGTCGAGTTCCGAGGCTCCTTAAGGACCTCCGACGTTTTACAACACTGCTTTGCGCGCTGCTCACCCACCGTTACATCCATATCTTTAATGGAAATCAAAATTCAACCCTTACTACTCGTTGGCAATTCTTTCGCTATGGGAAATTTAGACCAAATCTCCCCGACAGAGCTGATTCTCGGTGGTAGCGCACTGCAGTGGCTTACTAGCCCGTCGAGTCCCTTTGTGTGGTCTCGACTGACCACTCTAGCAATAGCTTCTACCGATTTTGCCAAGCTGGAGGTATCACCCTTGAATGTACTCTTCAGCTCAATTCAAAGACTTCACGGTGCGTAACATAGACATCTGTGAATCCACTTCATTCACTTTCATAGTTTACCAACTGTTGGGCTACAACCTTAGCGCTATATCACGTACCTTTGCCAAAGTCATGGAAGCAGCCATTCTCCGAGTTTTAGAGCTCACCGTGCACCACGACCGGCTGCTTGCACTCGAGATATTCCTCTCTCTTTGCCACACTTTCCAGATGCACACACTCGTCATACATATTGGGTCGTTCCAGGTCCACGACGACTGGTTACAGATGATTCGTGACAAAGTGGACAATGAGACGGAGAAGTGGTTTATGGAGCAGCGGCTTAGAAGACTGGAAATCGAGCTGACCGGGCCGTTCTTGCCTTCACGGTCAAGGAGTGCTCTGGCCAGATTGGAAGAATGTTTCCCCCGGTCGAAAGCTATTGCTCCTGAAGGTGTACATCTGAGCAGAGTGGTCGATCTAGAGGATGAGGACGAAGATGGAGAAGTGTAAAATACTTGATAGTTGAGCCATCGAAGTGATTGCAGACGTCATCGACCGAGCCGATGACGCACGGCGTTCACAAGAAATTAGTTCCGGTTGATCTGATCGTCGTAGAACTTGATTCCAACCACCACAACGAGTCGGTCGCGCTGTTGCCCCACAGTCATGAGATCGGGTGGTGGCAAGGTTGTGGGGCTAACGCAAGGGCGTTGTTGCATTTGGTAAGAGATTCCGTCAGCTTTCCAGATGGTTTATGACGAGCTTCAGCGCCGACAATGCAGAACAACGTGGCGAGGACTGCCATATAAGTCGATACCACCAAGGTGTGCGTCGCCGAGATAAACTGAGAAGCTGGTTACCACTCCGTCGCTCATGCGGTTGTTGGAGATCACAAGAAACAGAAGAGCGTGGAGGCGGAGCGAGGAATTCAACCACCGACGCAACCACACAACACAACACCAGTCCACCGGGGCTATAAAGGCAGCTCTCGCGTTAGAGTTTATACAGCTACTCGCCCCCAAATACCTCCAATCACCATTTCTCTCGGAGTTTCACTGTCCCAGCAATGAAGTCCGCCTTCCTTTCTCTCGCTACGGCTTCAGTCGTTGCTGCTCGCACATTCACCGTGAAGAACAACTGCGGCTTCACTATCTGGTACGCACTCCGCGCGCTCCATCTTTGGTGAAAGCTGTTTGCTAACCGCGCTGGCAGGCCTGCCATGTTCACCGACCTGAATGCCGGAAGCGCCGCTCCGGAACAGACGACTGGATGGGAAGCGCCAGCTGGCCATTCTGTCTCCTTCGGAGTGCCAGATAACTGGACAGCGGGTCGTATTTGGGTAAGTCATCTCCATTCCAGGCCATTCCGCGTTGATCTCTGGCCAGGGCCGAACAGACTGCGACTTCTCGGTCAACCCCGGGCCCACCTCGTGCTCAACTGGGGGTTGCAATGACGGCCTAGTATGCAATATCAACAATGGAACGGTATGTTGTGATGTTATAACAGAGACTTGATATTTACGACGTTCGTAGGGTGTTCCTCCAGCCACAGTTGCTGAGTTCACACTTTCCGGTGGAGGCACGACGGACAACTACGATGTTTCCTTGGTCGATGGTTCCAACCTCCCGGTAGAGATTACCAACAATGTTGGCTGTCCTATCCCGTCCTGCCCAGTCGATTTGAATCCCAATTGTGAGTTCCTTATGAGATGGCTCTGGGCCGTTGTGTTGTTGCTAACAGACTCGTATGTAGGCCCATCCGAACTTCAGCATCGCAACGCAAATGGCAACGTTGTTGGCTGCTTGACCGCGTGTGCTGCCAACCTCGATGGCAACCAGGGTGCGTTCTCTCATATTTACCGCCTGATAACTCGGTCCTGACCAAGACATATCTAGCCGACTCACCCAACTGCTGCTCCGGAAGCCACAATCAGCCCGAGACGTGCCCGCCTGAAGGTGTCACCGACTATTCGTACTTCAAAGGCAACTGCCCCAACTCGTATGCATACGCTTTTGACGAGGGCAGCGGCACGGCGTTGTGGTACTGCGATTCGAACTTGCGCGCAGACTATACGGTCACATTCTGTCCTTGAATTTCTACTTTCAAGCCAATCTCGTGTACAAATTATTCGTAAATAATCCAATTGTAGCATCAGATATACTTAACCCTTTGAGCTGGTTTCCATCGAAAGGACCAAACACTGCTACTTTCGTTCTTATCCTGCCAGTGTGGTAACAACTCAAAACCGCATCCTTGCTACCTTAGTCGATCGTTAACTTGAATGCATTCAGGTGGAGGAATAAGTACACGATACAACAATTAGGTTCCTCATAGTAAATGTGCTACGTCTGGACACATAGCTTGAGTGGACGCGGGTTTCCGTCGATACTATTCTCGTCCCGTTTCCGCTTTACTCCAGAAAGCACGCTCTGGTCAGCATCTAGCGTCGAGTTTTCCATGGGAATTGGAAGTTCAGTGTTCACTCTGTCTATCGGCGATAATGCTGACGCTGATAGCGGAGTCGGATTCAGCAGGCTCAACTCAGCACTCTCAAGTTTTTCAGGTAACACGATCTCGCGCGAGATCTCTTCGGGTTTCGACTCAGAAGAGTCCCATTCCGGCGCGTGGAATGGCTGAACTTTGGGTTTCTTGGCAGCTCGGCGTCGAGCAGTGCCAACGTCGACAGTCCAGGGAGCCAGCGCGCGGGCGAGCAGACCACGACTCGCTGCCTTGGCATAGGTTGGCAGTTCGAAATCGAATGTGATTCTGAGCCCAGTCTCGTGTCCGATTTCTCGAGGCACGTTGATGACCCAGCCAGTCGGACTTGGTGGAAAAGTTTCAGTCAACTTGACGATGTTGGGATGGAAATGGACGGGAACGGGAGGCGGGGCCATCAAACCCGGTCCCCGGAGGAGCGCGGGCCCCGATGTTGTAGCAACGGCCTTAGTAGTAGGTCGAGAGGGCAGAGGGCGGATGGGGCGGGCTGATGTGGCGGCCATTTTGGCCGGGGCTGGCCTAAACTCCGCCAAAAGAGGAACAAGATGCCGCAAAAGCTTGTCTGCGACGCGGATGACAATGCGCTCCTTGAGTTTGCCTCCGACGAGTAGCTGCAAACGCTCCGCAAGGCCTATCACGACCTTGGCCTGTAACTCGACGCTCATCAGAGCGTTTCTGATTTGGTCTTTCGGCATGCCAGCGGGCGCGGGCGCGGACTCTGAGTCCGTTGACAATTGTGGTTCACTGCAGTGACTGCACAAACAAGTCAGTAGACCGTCGATGGATGATAATTTGGACCTGGTGGCACACTTTTCAGTTGCAGTAGCATAAGCCTTCTCCAAGCTTTTCTTGACGTCGGCCTCTTGCGCCTCTTTGCGCTTAGTGGCCTCTCGGTCAAGACCCGTTGCAGTGCCTGTGATTATCCATTGGTACGCGAGGGCCGCCAACGAAGTCTCCAGATGGCCGCGAATCGTCCCCGCAACCTCAATAAGATGAGCGTCGGGCTCTGTACCGTCCTCCCTGGGCTTTTTGAGCTTGCTTGACCGAACAGCCTGCAGTAGACGGGTAAGGGCAATCAAAAACCCGTCTTCTTCGACGCCGAGTTCTGCAAGCGCGTCCTGCTTGGGAGAGGAGGTTTGGGTTTGTGGTTTCTTATCATTTTCTGAGTCGGCCATGGGTAGGGGGGGTTGGATAATGAGTCACAATCTGAGTTTCAAGTTGAGGTCTCTTATAGGTGACCGGCAGTCAAAGCGCAAGCTAGATTGTAAGCCAGCATATGTCAGCCTCGGCACTGTGGACACATAGCAAGGCCTGGAAGCTGGGCGTACGTTGGGAAGTTGAGGGAAAGCGAAACCCAATGATGGTCAGAGTCAGAGTACAATAGCACGTCAGTCACACCGGCTCGTGATAACGTGACACTCAGAGCTCTTTGTTGACGCGGTGCAAAACTCATGCTGAGGACTTTCGACGCGCCGTTACACGCGTTGTCTCTCCATTTGAAGCACAAGAGCTTGTTAAAATAGGGTTACGTAACTGAGTGCAGCCGGTGCACAGCAACTTAGCACTTTCGCGGTTAGTACTTTCCTTTGACTCACTTTACGCTGACATACCTGGACAGTGTCGGTCTTGGACAACAACACGTGAACAAGCATTGGGAAGGTAGTCGCTGACAGTGGTGTAGTCGTGCGCCACCAGTCTCGTGTCTACTTTTGGGCGATACTGATATTTCCACAGAGTTCTTGTTGTTTTAAAGTTGCGGGAGTGCTGAGATTCAAGTGGGCGAGATGCTCGCGATAGATTGTGAGTGCTTGACTGACTTGATCTGTCGGCGCTGACATGTTGTTTCTGCTTTCCAGACAGACAACGACAGCCTCCGAGTCGGCCCTCAGTGGGAACGAAAATCTGCTGATTCTGCTCATTTACTAGTAGTACTTATGTGTGTGTGTGTGTGTGTGTCATAAAAACAGGCAAATTTGATGCAATGCAGACTTAAGAGTGAATGTTGGCCACAAGACAGACAACTTTAATAGCTCGAAGGGCACCGTTTTCCGTGTAAGACTTGTCAAGTACTACTCGTGGGGCAATAATTCAGTACAGGCGTCTTCCCAAAAGACTTTCCCACGACGTGACAACGTGGATTTCTCGTGAATATTACTTAGCAGATAGCATCGTCAAAACTTGATCAAATGGCCGTGATGACTTGCACCAACTATTCCCTGACCTCTGGAACGTCTCTCCTCGTCCTTACAACGGCACATGGTGTAGTTGGTTATCACGCTCGCTTAGCTCAGCTTAAGTATCTCCCGAGCGCAGCGAGGCCGGGGGGGGAGGGGCCCCCCGGAGGTCAGTGTATCTCGCGAAGCGACCCGGGGGGGAGGGGCCCCCCGGTGACTGTTTTTCGCGAAGCGACGCCGGCTGAGGCGGGACGCCGAAGGGTGTGTCCGAGCGAAGCGAGGCCCGGGCAGCTGAGGCGGAACGCCGAAGGGTGTGGCCTCCAGTATTCTTCAGTATCTCCCGAGCGCAGCGAGGCCGGGGGGGAGGGGCCCCCCGGACATCGTCACACGCACGTGCTTTCGTCACGGTGGCCCAGTATTCTTCGTGAAGCGACCAGGGGCCGACCACCATGTTTCGCGGAGCGACCGCCGCAGGCCGAGGGCCGAACGACATCCCGAGCGGAGCGAGGTCCGCAGCGATCACCAAATGACCGCGGCCTACCACATTGTCACACGCACGTCCTTTCGTCACGGTGGCCCAGTGTTTCTCGCGCAGCAACCCGAGGCCGCAGGCCGAGGGCCGAACATTATCACACGCACGTGCTTTTGTCACGCCCACGCCCAGCCCCCGCCGCCACGTGAGTTGAAACTCACAGAATATCCAGTCACGGGCCAGGATAGGCTGGTTTCAGCGCCCTCAGCGTTCAATCTAGGCTATAGCCAATCCTACCCTTTCACCAGGCGCATGGTGTAGTTGGTTTATCACGCCCGCTTAGCATCGGGGCTCTCTTGGAGGCGCCCTCGTCGCTGCGGGAGGTGTTGGGTTCAATTCCCAATGCGTCCACTTTTTTCCCGTACGTCTTCGCGTCATTCACGCCACGTCCCCGCGATCGTGCGCCCACTCCTGACGTCCTGACGCGCCTCAATCCCGTCCCTGACCCAACGCGAGTCTCGCAGCGGTACGGCCAAGCGTACGCATCAACAACCGATCCGCGCCTCCGCACCCGCGTCACGTCGCCGCGCGACGCCGTCGATCGTTCACATGACTCGCGCAATACGGAATATCGAGTCACATGCCAACAGCGTCGATCGTTACAACTCTCTTTCAAACCACCACCATGCCCACCGCGCCCTTTGACTTGAAAAGTAGGGTCAAGCCTTTCAAGAGTATGTCATTCACTCACTCTCCAAGCATACTAACGGACAGCAGTCAGCCCATACTGTCTGCGGCGTCATAATTACACAGCAGAACTCACCTACGAAGAACGCCTCCATCTCTTGCGTGGACCTCCTTCTGTGCGCGTTTAACAACTTTCTAGTCACATTGCCGCTGAACAGCAGTCAGCACCCTCAGCCAGAGCCACGTAGAAGCAAATAAATTAGATGCGCTGTAATCATCATTCCACGTGACACCACACGTCCCTGCCATTGCTGGCCCTGCAAAGCTCTCCGCGGGACGTGCGTGCAGGCTCGCCGCGTCCTGCGCGCGCGCCGCCGCCGACAAAGGACGCGTGTGTCGGACGCGGCGCAGAGGTGGAGCAGCGCAGGACGCCGGCGCGGCCCCCACATGCACGCACGCGCACACCGCCGACGCCCACGTCACACCCCCGACGCCGCGACTATAAAAAGGGCGCCCACCCCCCATGTCACGCCCGTCGCTTCTTTCCCTCCTTCCACCACCATGCCTCTGGCAAACCGGGCGAGAAGGAGCGATGGGGAAGTCTATGACCAACGAATCGCGGACGCCCAAGAAAACGACCCTGTTCGGCACCACGCCCTCACACGGCTGCTCACAGGCACTGTTCACTTCAGAGCCCTCACACCCTCTGCCGAGTACATACACGACCGCCTCTACAAACTCTGGAAACTGTTTCTCGAAAAACGACCACTTGGTGCGGAGCATTGGCCAGTAGTCATCAAGGAGGGGGTGGTTATTCCAACACACGGTGCGTGTGCTATCTATCTAGCTCACTTAACTCTGACAACCGTTTTTTTTTTAGACCTTTTGAAGGACTTTGTTCGCTTCCTTGCCATCGTCGTCCAGGGCAGAATAGCTACCTTCGCCAAGAAGAAAACAATTCAGTCGTATCTCTGGACTTTCTTTGCGCTCTGGCGACGGCGAACATTCGACTGCCTCCCCAAGAATCTTCGCAACAAGACTTTCGACTACCTCAACTCAACCAACTTCAAACAAACCATCACCCTCACCACAGCCTCCCGAACCAAAGAATACGCCGACATCATCGACGTCGCCATTCTCATCAAGGAGATCTTCAAGGACAAGACCTGCTTTCGCACTCATCACGGTCGCATTATGGCCATCTACGCCATCCTCCTTGCCGCGCTTTCCAGCGAACGACCAGGCGCGATTATCGAATCATCTAACTATCGCGGCTCCAACGAGGCGCTTGTTTGGGGCGACCATCAATTCTGGGTGATCCACAACCCTGACGACACATCCCGTCCGCTCATCGCTCTCATCACAACGATACGCCTCCTCAAAGGTCTCCGAACCGATGACTCTGCCACCAAGCAATTCTTCATCCTACAAGAACCAAGCTCACATCGACTTGTCGACGGCCTCTTGTATGCCCTCGTTCTTGCTTTCAATGACGACATCTTCCAGGACGTCAAAACCATTGAAGAGATCTTCCATCCCAAATACCCCACTACCGGTTCTCACATGCTCAGAATCAAGGCTGACAAGCAAAACCTGCCGGTAATACGAAAAGAAACAATGGTAAATGGCATGTGGTCCGTCGCAAACGAGCTGGCAATGCCATATTCCATGATCGCAAATCGTATGCGGATGCTCAGCCTCAAAGCCGGCTTCAGACGTGCGTTCCACTTTCCCCCTCCCCTCCCCTTGTTGTTGATGATATTTGTTAGATTGGATTACGTTTTATTGCTTCAGGCGAGGGACTGCAAATCGACTAGCAGGCGAAATCCCCGCCGACGAACGGAAACTGCTCATGGGACATTCTTCAAACTCGAACCAGTTCTATGTAACCGACCATTCCTCCCATCTCCTGATTTTTAATCGCATTTTCAGACGAGCTACATGTCGCGCCGGTCGACGATCGATTTGGGGGCAATTTTGGCTCAAAATACCAACGGGCCAGACCCAGAACATCAAACGGTAATAAAGGCGCTGGGCGGGATGTCCCACGATTTGGATCCTAATGCGCCTCTTACTCTTAATGCTGCCGAAGTCGCGGAGATGCTCGCAGAGCCGGAATTGGTCGAGCTGCGAGAAAAGCGAAAGGAGGTTTCGGAGCGCATTGCGATGGAGAAAGCCAAGTTGGAGGAGATTCCCGAAGACGACGACGAGACCCACCAAGCGCAATGTGACGTAATCGAAACGCTGGAGGAGGAGGAGCTGTCTTATTTCCAGAGCCACAAGGCAAAGATCTCGACCGAGGAGCGCTTCCGATTCGAGGAAAAACGGAAGAAATACTTCGACGAAGCCTCGATGCGGCAGCTGACGGGACAGCAAGGTGGCCCGAAGCGGACACCAATGGCGAACATTTCCGTCAATTCACCTCGACGAGTCGCACCGCAGCAGTCGACTTCCGCCCAGAAGGAGAATGCCCCGCGGGCACATCCTGCGGTTACCATTGGTGGCCGACCCCATCCAGGAAGCATTCGCCATGATCAACACCTTCGATCCTGTTGAAGATAATCGCTCAATTCACTTTGTGTCTTGCGCCAAAGCACTCATCGGTCTCCCGGCACGCCCATCCGCACTGTGTTATCCCGGCGAAGGGCCTACGCAAGAAGGCAAGTGCCCAGTCTGTGACGTTGAGCTTTCGTACGTGTTCTTGCCCTTCTGCCGCTTCGTTTTCTTATTTTATTTCTAGGCCTCAAACACACACATTCAGCGCCAACAATATGGCAACCCATATTCACAAGTGTGTTCTTGATGACGCTCGCATCAAGGCAACGGCGGAGCTTGAGAAAGAGTATTCTCCTCAGTTGTGTTGGTGGAAAACCTGCAAAGTCAAGGGAGTCTTCGAAACGCGCGCGAGTTTTGCTGCTCATATACGCCACCATACCGAAACAGCCAAGAACGCAGGCTGGTCCGGCAGCAAAGCAGTCTGCCGTTGGGTCGATGAGGAACAGCAGGAAGTGTGCGGAGATATTGAGTGCGACGAGGAGCACATGGGCCGAGCTCACCAAATTAACGTGTGGCCTCAAGTCCGTGTGGAGTACGACGCTCTTTCTTCGGATACGTGCGTGTTTCTCCCTCAGAATGATTTTTTTTTTCGCTGACTCGTGAATACAGGTTTATTGACATTGACGGCGATGGCGACACATGGCGAGAGCGCTGTAACGAACAGTACATGGAGCTCTACGAGCCATTCGCGGTTCGCACAGAAGACGAGGTCGAATTTGACACCAAAGGAGTCACTTTCTCAGAAGGATGTGTTCTCTTCGAGAACGGCGAAGGGTTCGGTGGCGAGCGACCCGAATACCACGGCCATATCGAACGCCTGGTTGCCCTCGCTGCCCCTTTTGCGTTCATGAAGACAACCTTGACATTGTGGATCGCATGCGCCAACATTTCACTAACAACGCTTTCCAATTGCATCTCAACTATCACAAAACGCAAGTAATCGCCGCAACATCCCCGCGAACATGCCCTGTCCCTTCCTGCGGCCCAAAAACTTTCGATTCGTTTGATTTGCTTTACCACATGGTTGCATTCCACCGCGTTCCCATCTGTGGCTCAACCAAGCATCTTCGCTATCGTCAGCTTCGGCTTCCACAGCGCGAGGACATGTTGGTTCCAGTGGCGGAGGGCGAAGAGAATGGGAGAGAGAACCCAAAGTCGCAGAAGCGCGCGAGAATGGTTATCTATGACTCGTCCGATGAAGAAGAAACAACCGCGCCCGTCATCGATCAGCAAGAGGGTACAAGTGCCGCTGCTGGCAAGCGCAAGCGCGACGACGACGACGAGGATGAAGAAAAAGAGCGTCCCCGTCGGAAGCACGTGAAGCGCACAAACCGCGCCGCCGATAAAACCCATTACTGCACCGCCCACCGCCTCCAATTTGTCGACATACGAAACCATATCCCATCCTCTTGCACGTCGACTACCTTCCGTGTCCGAGATGAGAAGATGACGAGGACGGTATGGGGACCGACTGTAGTCTTTGCCGAGTGGCTTAAGACAGCACCACGAGACATTGTGCGTCCGCCGGTTATTCCTGCTGCTACCCTACAACTGACCTGTCTCTTGTTAGCCTGCGGAACCTACCGAAGCTCAAGGTGCGCGCAAACAGTCTGTTAGCGTCAAGAGTACCGAGGAGCTCCGCAAATTCAAGTGTGATGGGTGCAAGCGCGAGTATGCATCGATTGTCGACCACTTTAAGAATATTCGCTCCGACAAGTCCAAGTGCGTCAAGCGCAGGTTCCAGACGCGGCAGGCGGATGGGACATTTGGAGCGGTAACTGCTCTGGCCGCGACGTAAAATACTTTTACCTCCCTACTTACTTAACCTACAACTCGGTTACCTACTCTACTTACTCCCTCTACTTGTTACGCGATACTCTGCATTACCACCGTAGATAGATTGGTTATTCAAACGAGCTCGTTTGCCACCCCTATTGGTATTTTGGTTTCAAATGTAACCAGCGTGTCCATCTTTTGCTCCCTTCGACGGGTCCTATCAACCACAACTTTTGTTTCCATGCTACGTTGACCATCTAGCGAGCAGTTCTGACCGAGGCAGCTTGAAGTAAAAGCCCAACAGCAGCCCTCTAGTTACATTAAAATCCGAACACAGAGTCACACCCTCGGGCTTCGTAGAAGACTCTTCACTTTCTCTGAGGAAACTTTGTTGTGGCACTCAAGGGCCAGCAGACTTTTCAATTATAGGTTTCCCTGAGTTGAAGGGGAAAGTTTGATTTACCTTTGCTGCGCACTCCGAGCCTAATGGTTCCGACAAAACCAGCATACTTATATAGTAGAGTGAAAGCGTGAATAAGTGGACCACCTCTACAGTACCTCCAATGCCGGTAAAAAAGCCCACTTCCTGAGCCGCTCCATCCAAAACATCACCTACTCTACCTCGTGTGTATAGCCCTTATCGCCCATGAACTTAGCAGAAACTCCTCATAGTGGCACAAGACTGAACCGTCAAGGCCGCGCCATTGCACGCATCGTCTACCGCGACCGCCAGCTCAACTTTAAGCTCAGTCGATGGACGCAAAAGGCTGTAGGCCAGAAGCTCCGCGTCTCCCAGAAACAGATCAGTCGCGCCATCAACAACCCGGACAACGACGACGTTGGGGGCGACCTCACCTTTGTCGCCAAGGCTAAGATGTGGCAGCGACGCTTCCAGACGAAGATAGACCGTGACTCGCAGCGGGCCAAAACGGAATCAGAGCCCGAGAGCTGGGCCTCGGAATTTATGGGCACTGATCACGACAACGACGACATCATGTGCGACGTAGAGTCCAACGCCGACTCAGACTTGAATCAGCCTGCGGTACCGTCATTCATTTGTGTTCGAAGCACTCGAGCTAATAATGTCCACTGGTACAGATTTCCAGTGAAAGTTTCGGCCCAATCACACGCGCCAAAACCAAGGCACGATCCAACAGTGCTGTTGCCAATGCACAAGATTTGAGAGAGGTTTGGTGTTTTCGTCCTACTAAGTATGCTTGGGGTCTGAATAAGTTCTAAAGAAAGGAGCAAGTCCGGCAACCTCACCAGCTGTCGACCCCGTCCAGTGCCAAGTATCCGTGCCAACAGAGACCGCCATTGTTACCGGCCTATCGAAGAGCATGTCCAAGTTCCTTGCGGATGTCAGAGGCTTGAACATGGTCCATCACCAGGCAATGTTCGAGGCCAAGGGCTTCACCTCACTCACGAAACTGCTCGAATACGCGCGTCTCGACGAAGCCGAGCTCGCGAGTGCGCTGGAAATCCTGTTCAAAAACGAGCTGTCGGAGTGTGACCGCTGCTTGCTCCGCTTCGCTATCCGGGATCTGAATATTTGAGTCGACGGAAAGTGCCAGTGAAAAGATTCCGGAGACTGAATTTGGTGCACTATTGTACATTTCATTCGCACCACTCTATTATATGATGCTTTTGATTCCATGCTGGCGCAAATTGACCCATTCGGGGCGAGCTGTAACTGCCTTCCACCATCTAGTCGAATAGTGAGCACGGACCCGGTCAATGTCTGAGCTATGGCACCAACCTGATCACATTCGGGCGCCTTTCGTCTCCCATGATATTAGCGGTGCCCTCGATAGAGAAGGCAGGCATCGAAATCAGATGGAACAAGTCGACGAGAGTTATATCCTGCCAGCAAAAACTAAGACCAAGGTCTCAAAATGAAGCATATGCGCACATTACCAGCAATGTACTCCTGCTTTCTCAAAATCTGTTCGTAGACGTCCATTTTTGCAGCGAAGTCTTCCAGCATGTTTGCCAGCGCGGCTTCGTCCACCTCGAGACCGCGTTTCCTATGAGTACTTTCAAGTCATGAACTGAACAGTGACAGTGTGAACCACTGACGGCTTCCCCAGCATCTCCCAGCCGAGTTTGGTGACGGCTGGGAAGAACGTGGTGACCTCCACAGATGCTGCTTGTTCGAAGATTGCGCGCTCTTCCAGAGACGGTCCAGGGAGAAGAGAAGGCCCATGGTCGGGGTATTTCTCAACGAGGTATCGACAAATCGCGCGAGTTTCGTAGATCACAAACCCATTATCGTCCTAAAACACAACTGAATGACAATTCAGCAGAAGAGTTCGTGACGCACCACTACCGGGACCTGGCCGAATGGATTGCGCTTCAGATGGGCCGTCCCCTTCTGCTCTTTGCCAGCATAGTCGAGCACGATGTACTCGAATGGAATTCGCTTCTCTGCGAGCACAAGGGCGACAACGCCGCCCCCAGCGCTAATCGAAGGCTTTGCATAGAGTTTAACGACCATGGAGCAGAACAATCCCTCATCCTTTCCTCCTCGCGCATATATGGGCTAACGGCTCATGAGCGGGCGGGATCGTGCCGGGCGAATGGTGTAAGCATGCAAGACATGTCGGTGTTGGCGGGGTCCAAACAAGAAAATCGCCATCCCTTCCCGGAGCCAAACTAAAGTCTATGACACAGGCGGCAGCCTACCAAGCAATTAAAGCAATCGAAGCAGAAAAGCCTCGTGTCCAGGAGGCGCTGGACCGCAGGGATACGAACACCAACCTCATTTTTGCCCAAGATGCAGCAGAACTTGACGACGGCGGCGTTCCCTCTCCGTCGCAAATCTGGAAATCTATTCGACATAAGGACATCTCGAGGAACATACGACAGTTCCTGTGGCTAGTCATCCACGAGGGATATGTACTTGGGAACCGCTGGAAGAATTTCAATGGCTTCGAGGACAGAGCTATATGTGAAACTTGCCAGTGTGAAGAAACCATGGGCCACATCCTAACGAGCTGTGACGCACCAGGACAAGAAGAAATCTGGAAGCTCGTCAGCGATCTCTGGGAGCGGAAGACAGGCGCCCCACTAACCAAGCCCCTCCTTGGCGAAATCATGGCCTGTGGCTTGATGAAGAAGAAGGCCACACAACCTAGGAACGGCCCGGGAATATCAAGGCTATTCCGGATCGTAATCTCGGAATCCGCACACCTGATATGGCGTCTACGGAACGAGCGCGTCATCAACGAAAAACGGCCCTCAACACCCGAGATTCGCAATAGGTGGAGGGAAATGATCAACCGCAGACTGACAATCGATCGATTGCTAACAAACAGGGCGAAATACGGCTCGAGAGCCGTGCGCAAATCCCTCGTGCTGCGGACGTGGGCCGGAACGCTGGATAGCGAGGACTATCTCCCTCGGGATTGGACCAGGGAGAGCGGAGTTTTAGTGGGTATTGGGTAGCGGCGATGAAGGAGACTTTGGTGTCCGGAGCCATCAAGAGCTATCCCCGAGTCCCACACTACCACTGCTTGCTGGACCGTACTGTGGTTCCCCGTGACTGTGCAATCTCCCCCTGAGTGTGTAATCACGACTTCCTTCCATCCCTCGAGAATAAAAGCCTCCGGTATCGCCCGGAATGCATTGTTGTAACTATCTTACATCTATGTACACATTTGTTTCAGAAAATCTGCTGAGTATAAGCAACGAAAAACAATTACCGAGCCATCAAGGTATGTAATATTCTGATAACCTCGACTGTTTGGGAGCATCCTCGCTGCTCTTTGAGCCCAAAAAACAGTGTGAGATGTCAGGAGGACTCTTGCCTCAACCTCTGTGCGAAAATTTTGCTGGTCCGGGATGTAGTTGCGCCAAAATTGAGAATTATTGAAGATGGTAACACTTTGTCACATTTTGCCGCTGATCGCCTTGCTGGTCAATTGATCTTGCACTCGGCAGTCCAATGGCATTGGAATTCATGTACTAGTAGTATGTATCTATGAAATAATCTGACTCTAGTTGACTATGAGGGTAACTATCATACAATATGTACTGATAAGTATATATAAACATTAAGACGACGGCCACTGGTGGGTAGTTGGGTATGCGGCATCAAACTGCGTGGGATAACCCAAGTCGTAGGAGCCATAAATGGTATGGTAGTCAGCGGGAGTGTTGTAGTATGGAGTATGGTCATCCAATGGGATAAGGGAGTTCAGTTGCGCAGCGGAAAAAGGCTAAAATATACATGTGAAAAGTGTCAAGACCAAGAACCAAGTCCAAACTCACTGGTACGATGTTGCCAAATGATGGAGCAATTTGCGATGGCCCCGCAAGTTGCGATGGCCCCGCAATCACATTTGTCTCATCAGAAAGCAGTGCAGCAGCAGCACGCCGAGTACGAGCAGCAAACAGACCCGAGAACCGTGGGTTCTGTTTGTCTGTTTGGCCTTCAGGAGAGTCAAAATGGGCGCGGACAGCAGCAAGGATGGCGGGTTTGAGAGCTTTTTTGTCAGGAACAGGGCCGGCCCGGGCCCACGTGACGGTCTCCTGCCAGCCTGACAAGTGTGGGAAAGATGGTTCAACCCCCATAGCTGGGTGGTTGGCAACCAGGCAGCGTAGATGGTGCCACTGCTGCAATAGAGAGCAGGGTAGGGACAGCTCGGGGCGACTCGAGACGCCCCGCTGCCACGTTGTGTGACAGCGGTGTCACAGGATACGAGTAGTCGCCTAGAGTTTCCTACCCCTGCTGAAGGGAACGAGTCCATAGCCAAAGATCGCTGCCTAGTAGAGTTGGTGCCCAAGACATAGGGCAAGGCATAGGCTGGGCCAGTTGAACAAGCCGTTCAGGCGGGGCGTGACGTAACGCGGTCACACCCGACGGTTCGGGGGGTCGAGGGGAGTCGCCCCGCAACAGGGGCTGCGGGCCCGAGACCCCTGGAGCGCTTGAGAAGGGTTGCCAGTCCAAGGGGCGACATATCTCCTTTCCTGGAGTAACGAGTCGCTGTGGCTCCTAGACACCGCGTGACGGCGCGGTGTGACGCGTGACATGCGGGCCCGATCGGGCCCGCACCCTCCCATCGCCCCGTACCAGGGGAACCCAGAGCTTGAGGCCAGAGAGCAGGAAGAAGTGGCTAGGACAAGGGTGAACATAAGAGACAAGAGCCTGAGCTGTCCAGCCCAACCAAGGGCTCAGGTCAATGAGGCAAGCTAGCCTGGAGTGTTGGAAGTCGTCTAGATGCCCCTTTCCTGGGGTATGGTCGCAGCAACCCCGCTCTAGGGGACCAGGCCGGAGTAGGGTTCAAAGGAAGAGACTTCAATGCTAAACCTAAGGTACAGGAGTAATACTCTGGTCTTTATATACTGTGGGCGCTAGGGGCCGATCGGGCCCGCTGAGGGTCGATCAGAATGGAGCAGGGGATGTCTCTGGTCGTCCCTGGTCGCTCCGCTAGGAGCCCAGGGACCATTCCTCTGGAAGGGAGCCATGCCAATGTCGACACTAAGGAGTGTTTGACAATGCAACAGTAAGGAGCTCCCTCCTGGACCCTGTGGTTGTCTAGGGCCGATTGGGCCCGCTGTCAAGGGCGTCCGGCGGCGCATCATGATCCCTGATGGCGGGTCATGATGGCTTGATGGCTGACTAAAGCGCGATCCGTGATTATGTCCCTTCTCTGGGATATTAGTGTTGTTGCTCATTGCTTTGAGCTTGTGAATTATGAGGGCTTGTCAAGCCCTAGGGCTCTAAGGGTGGTGAGGGCCCGTTGGGCCGTATAGGGCCCGACGGCCCGACCCGAACCGTCACATTTTTCGTCAATCTGGAGGTTAAGTGCACGAGCAATATCAAGTAAGTCGTCCTTGTTCTGACTGGATAGAGCACCTATAAAGGGTGTGTTGGCAGCGCGTCGAGCATCACGTTCCGTTTGCTTTGCTGCCTTTCGTTGGGCAGTATCTGCCTTCTGCTGTCGTTTAGCCTCCCGAGCGTCTTCCTCTTCCCTGCGCTATTGCCCGCCCTTCTGCTGATGTGAGAACTCGAGCACTGCTCTTGATCCTGCGCCCGTTTGTTCGGGCGAGCGGCTGTGTTGATTTTACGCTGGTAGGTGAATAGCTGATCCTCCAGCAGGCGCATATGCAACGTGAGCATCACAATCTGGGACTCCAGTGCATTGATCTGCTTGAAGAGACCTGGGTCGTAATAGAATTGCTGGACAGGTGTCGATGGGAGGGGAAAGGCAATAGAATCATTGGTTCCGCAGGTGGGCTCGGAAGACTCGGAAGGGGAAGATGCTGGGACTGTGCTTGATGATGAAGACGACTGAGACCGCGAATGGGCGGCAGTAGATGCACGAGTTGGGTAGGTAGGCATTGTCGTAGGTGGCGGAACAGATACAATTGATTCTGTATCAGACTCCTCGCTGTCCGAGTCAGAACTGTCATCATCATCACTCTCGGCCGCATCTCTATTAGCGATGGCACGAAGAGCACGGAGCGCAGCCGAATCCGGTGGGAGAACAGTCTCAAGCTCCTCTATCATTGGGGGGAGCTCCGGGCGATCCGGCGTCTCAGTTGAGAAAGGGACACTCATCGCAAAATCCTCATCCGTGAACACAGTACGATCGACAGGCCAAAGACCACTCTTTCGGAATGCCGCTTGAATCACCTCCGGCTTGAAAGTCTTCTCCCGAACAGCCATATATTCCTTCACAAAATCCGCAATATCCATAGTTGCGCCAGTGTCATGCGCAATCTGGTCACAGCGTTCAAGCCAACCTCGTGAAAATGGACCAAAAACACCGACATCGGCAGGTTGGAGGCGGTGGGTTGTTTTGGAAGGGAGGATGATAATGTAGCAATTGTGGGTTTCCGCGTAGTCAAGGATAAGAAGGGTTTCATGCGATCCGTGACCGTCCATAACAAGGAGAAGTTTTTTCCCAGACGTGTTTTTGGCGGTCGCTTGTGGAATGAAGCACTTTGTGAACCACTGGTAGCCGATATCGTTGTCTGTCCAGCCAGTCGAGGAAGTTGCGATGCTGATATCATCGAGTAAGTATCAAGCACGAACAGATCTGATACACATACCAAATATCGTCATGGACTGAAAACCACTCCGGGAAAAAACCTTGGCCAGGGAAAACAAACGTTGGATAGAACCCCTCCCCGAGCGCATTGACAGTCTCGATGATTGTGATAAGTTGGAGACTGTCGCTGCTGCATTTGAGCTTGGCCTTTTGCGCGCGCCGAGAAAAAGTATTTTTCTTGGCTGATGTGCCGTCCCCCCGCCAAGCTGGCAACCTTTCTCATCCATGTTGTAGATATTCTCAGGCGGGATGTCGAAATCACGGATTGCGCTCTCGAGCTTGTCAAAATAGCCCATGACATTGGCGCGGTTGAAAGCACGTTGACGTTGTGGGGAAATGGGAGCAGCACGGGTGAGAACGACTTCCGGGTGGCGTTTCCTGAACTTGTAGCACCAGTTCTTCCCGGGCTGCTTACCCTCAGGATGAAGCATAGCAGCAC